CCCGTGGAGGTGACCCAGGCCTACCGGCGGCAGGCCCGCAGGACGCACCCGGACCGGAAGGGCAGCACCGAGGCGTTCCAGGCGCTTAGGGAGGCGTACGACGCCGTGTCGGCGCGGCTGTCGCTGGCCCTGCCGGCGCCCGCGCCGACCACAGCGCCACGCGCCGAGGAGCTGTCCGCGCAGGCGGAGGAGCTCGTGCGCCTGGCGCTGGAGTGCTGCCGCCGCGCTGGTCCGTGCGCGGGCGCTTGCTGGGAGGCGGCGGGGACCCTGGCTTCCTCGTGGTCGCCGTCGTCGCCGTCGTGGCCTTCGCCGTGGACGGCGTGAACGCCGTCGTAGTCGTGTCCGTGGTCGTGGGTGTAGGTAGTCGCTGTCGCCGTCGTCGTCGTCGTCGTCGTCCTTGTCATCGTTTTCGTTATTACAGTCGCCTTCCTTGTGTTCGTCATCGTCGTTGACGTCGTCGTCGGCGTGGTCGACGGTCTTACCCTTTGTCGTCCTCAACCTCGTTTCCTTCTGCTCATCCCCTCTCGCTTCCATTTCCCCCGGAAGAGGGGCAGGAGGCAGGCAGGAGACAGGAGGTGGGCGGCAGGATGAGTTTCTGCGAGCGCGTTCGTCCTCATCATCCTGATCCGCACCATCGTCAATATCATCATCGCGGATGGTAGCATCGTCATCGTTACCATCATCGTCCTTACCATCACCAACCCTGCCGCTATCATCACTGACATCGTCGTTGCCATTACCCACAGCATCATCACCAGCATCATCATCAGCATCATCATCATCATCGTCATCATCATCATATTCATCATTACCATCATCATAATCATCATCATCATCGTCATCATCATCATCGTCATCATCATCACCATCGTCATCAGCAGCAGCGTCGGCATTAGCAGCAGCATCCTCATCATCACTACCATCAACATCATCATCAGTTGTGCAACTTCGGAGCTCTGCGTTGGGCCCTCGTACCATTTTGCCTTCAGGCCGGATGCCCCAGCCGCTGGTCGAGAAGACATTGTCGGCGAGTTGCGCAGGCATTTCACATCCATAGCGGGCCTGAAAGATATGCAGAGCGCACCTTTTTTTTCTAACGCTGTGATCCAAGCTGTCCAGGCGGTGGCAGTCCCGTGCCATGAAACCTTCTCCATCATGGGCTTCACGCTCAGAGAAGGACCGCAACGGAGGCAGCTAAGGTAAAGTTTTGGCTTCCTCGTATTCTTCGGTTTCGCAGATCGGCTTGCCCAATGGTATTTGCGCTCTTGCTTCTCCTCATGCCCCTCCCTTCCCCATTTGCATCCTCGTCCTGGGCAGACTCTTATCCCTCTCCCCTTCTCCCTCGTCTTCACCAGCATCCTCCGCCACCCAAGCCAGCCCCATCCTCCCTCGTTCCCCCTCCCCTCCTCTTCCTCCATCATGCATGCTCCGTGCCTCCCCCCTCCTCCCTCATGCCGCATCTTCGTCCGTCCTCTCTCTCGTGCCCTTTGTTTTCTTCCGACCACTTTTCTTTCTTGAGTACTCAACCTCCCCCTCCTCACTCTCTCAGAATCTTCATCGTCCCCCTGATGCCCTTGCTTCCTCATCATCCTCTTCACCATACTCATCTCTCCTCCCCCCGCTCCTACTCCTCAGGCCTCCTCCAAAGCCAGTTCGGCTCATGCCCCCCGCTCACCTGCACAACCACCCACATCACAATGAAGCTGGCCTTCCCGATCTTCTGCTCGATCACCCTCGCAGATGCCGGCCGGCTCCGGAGGCACCTCCTGGAGGAGGACCGCACCCGCTCGAGGAGCCGCACCATGGCGCAGCTGGCTCCGTTCTACCACAGCACCGACGGCATCCACGACGAGCTCGCGGCCCTGGCGTCCCGGTGCCCCGGGATGGCCCTCCGGACCGAGCGCGGCTCCGGGGAGGGCGGACGCGAGGCCGCGATAGACTCCGCAGGCGGCACCTGTGCATCACCGCCGTGCCTGGCCAGGGCCACCCTGGGCCCTGGCAGGGCGCTGCGGCTGCGCCTCGCGGGGCGCCTGAGCGTGCCTCCAGGGTGCCTTGGGTTTCTTGGGATTCGATGGTTTTGCAATGGGAAACGTGGCGCTCCCACACCAACAATCAATGAACGCCCTGGGGTCTCAGGATTAGGTTTCTTGTGGCAGATTTCTTGTGGTCGAGCTCCTACTGTACTCCTTCGTGCTTCCCTTTCACCCCATCCTTGGTCGCTTTCGCTGGCCGCGCCCCGCTCGCAGAGTGTCGACGTGGCCTCCCAAGGCCCTTGCATCCTCATCGCACGTCCTCATCATACGGACTGGCTATATAATTTGAGTAGGGCCGAGGGTCAGAGAGCGCCTTCCTCTGCAGGACCACCAAAAAGGCGACGTCAAGGTGGTCAAACGCCTCGCCTTTCAAGCCGACGAAGGCGTGCAACATCCAACACTTCGCTCATGTCCAAAGCTTTGGCTTGACGCCTGGAGTTGTGCACAGCTTGACCGAACAGGTTGGCTGCGCCCCTTGACGTCCGTTTGGGGTGCTCTGCAGACCTGACCCCCAGATTTACTCGATGTATAATGCGCCCTCCTCCTCCTCCTCCTCCTCCTTCTCCTCCTCAGGCCAGGCGCGCTCGGTGTGTACAGGTGCCCTCTGCGGACGGACGTGGTCACGATCTCCGGGCCGAGCGTGGGAGGAGGGCGAGGCGACGCGACACCGCCGCTCCCCATTCGGGGCCTCCTCCTGCTCCTCCTCCTCCTCCTCCTCCCCATCCTCCTCCTCCTCCTCCTCCTCCTCCTTCACAATTACTCAATATGAATACTACTCTCCCTCTTCCCCCGACGGCGGCCTGAAAGTAGCCGACCCCCCCCCCCGCGTATTGTTTTTTACACAGAGGATTCCCGGGAGTTGGGTTTTCGCCTGCGTTTTTTTTCAAAATGCTGCTCTCGCTGAGGCGCCGGCCTCATTTCTGCTCCCGAATCGTTCCGAATCGTGCTCCCGCTGCAGCGTGGGCCTCATTTTCGGATCGGTGTTTGGCCTCCGTCGTTCAGGATGGCGTTCTCGCCCCAGCGCGGGCCTCTTTCTCGCGCGCCCATCCGCCCGCCACCACCGCGCCGCACCACCACCCACCACCACCACCACCACCACCACCCACCACCACCACCACCACCACCACAGCACCACCACCACCACACCACCACCACCACCACCACCACCACCACCACCACCACCACCACCACCACCCACCACCACACAACCACGCACACACGCACGCACGCACGCACGCGCACCACCACCCACTACGCACGCGCGCGCGGAGCCACAGGTCCGCTACGACACGCGTCCGCGGATAGAGAAAATCAGCGCCATGGTAAGGGATGGGAGGGAGGGGTAGGACGTCAGATATGACGCGAGCGCACCTAGCTTGCCCCCCCCCCCTCCCCCTCCCCCTCCCCTCTCCCCGTTTGGGTGGCGCTGCAGGAGAGAGCTTCGGAGCCTCGCGCCGCAGCGCCGATGGCATCTGCGATATGCGGCGCTCGCTCCAAAAGAGGAGGAGAGGTACCGATCCCTCCATGGGCCTCCCTCGTTTTTTCGCTGTTCGGGGGCCTCGTGGGAGGCCCTCACCGCCACCGCCGGCTTCGCCCCGAGAGCCTGCTCCCTCTAGGCTTCCCTCGTGTTTTCGCTTCTCTGGGGCCTCCTGGGAGGCCCTCGCCGCCACCCGCGGGATTCGCCCCGAGGGCCTGGTCCGAGCGCGCCCCGAGAGAGGGGTCCGGGAAGTCGCAGTAGCGGTACAAGTACAATTCGGCTTTCCGATCTCCAGCCCGGTTTTCTCCATCCCGACGTCGTCGATGCGTCGCCGACGGTCAAGAGGGGAAAAAAAACACAGACACAATTAATCGGCGATTCCCAGAAGATATAGGAAACTATGGGAAGTGGGGGGGGAAGACAGGAACCCAGACAACATGGGAAACTATGGGGGATAGTGTTATTTGTGTGTATCTATTTGTGTGTCCTGGGGCCCCTTCGGATGCGTCGGCGATGTGGCACGGCTCTCCGGCCCCATCTCAAAGGCATAAAGAACGCCCCTACCCCTCTTCCTCCTCCTCCTCCTCCTCCTCCTCCTCCTCCTCCTCCTCCTCCTCCTCCTCCTCCCCCTTTTCCCCCTCCTCCTCCTCCTCCTCCTCCTCCTCCTCCTCCTCCTCCTCCTCCTCTTTAGGACCCCTCTTGGGCCCCGGCTGGCTGCAAAAAGGGCCCTCAATCAAGGGCATACAAAAACGCCCCTACCCTGGTTTGCGAGGCGCTGTGCGCTGAAACTCCTGTGGGCCGACAGGGTAAGCCCTGCGTGGTGTGCCGCGTCCTGGCGGCTCTAGGCTTTGGGGGTTCCCAGGAGGTTTGCAGACCACGCGCTTGTAACCCAGGGTAGGGTCGTTTTTGCATCTCTCAGCCATCTGATCTGGCCCCATCAGTGCGGCCTCCAGGTGCCCTGCCGAGCCAGAGGTCGACGGTGCCTCGAGCGGGGCGCCGAGGGGCAGCGACGACGTCATGGGTGCCGCGCACCTCGTTGGCGTCTCCTGGGGCGTCGTCGATCCTCGGCCTAGGAAAGGTGCAGTGCCGTTTTTTTTATACATGCTCCGCGTGCGGATCATGTATTAAAAATGCAGGGATGTAGTATTAAAACAACGACGAGTTCATGCATAAGTTCATTCGTAAATTAATCATGTAATAAAACACCACTGTTTTTTAATTCAAAAAAATCCAATGTATTAAAAACTGCCCTGTACGGTGCACAGTTTCTATGGCCTCAGAGCAGAGAAGCTGTGCCCCGCACCGCGTGGGGGCGGGACCTGAAGGGAGTCCAGACACGGTACGGTGCATGGGCGCCGTTCCCGTAGGCGCCGTTCGCATGACTGGCGGTGTTGGTGTTGGCTCCCTCTGCTCCCAGAGCGGGGCACCCGTCAACAGGAATTTCTTGCTTTTTGGGGAGCACTCGCGGGAGCTGATCTCCCCCGAGTCAGGCCTTCATCTCGTGCGGAGTTTGTGCGGTGAGACTGAGCTGGGGCCCAGGGCCAAGGAGGTCCTGAAGGAGAACGAGTTCCAAATCGTCGTCAACGGGAACCCTGGATCTCGCAAGAAGGTCGAGCAGGGCGATTTCTGCCTCCGCGTTAACCCGGCCGGCGTCGATCTCAACCGGAATTGGGATGAGAAGTGGCAGGCGGGCGCTGTGCTTAACGCCAAGGACACGAATCCGGGGCCAAGGCCATTCAGTGAGCCTGAGACCAGGACCTTCAAGAAGCTGGTAGAGGACTTCCGGCCCACGACATTCCTGACGATACACAGCGGGACCAAAGGCATGTACATGCCCTGGGCGTACGACATGGAACATCTTGCTGGTCGGAACCAGCGGGAGATGATGGAGATTTTGAAGGCCCTCGACAAGAACCATTGCGAGTGCCCGTTCGGAGCAGCTGGCAGAGAGGTCGGGTACTCCTGCCCTGGCACGTGCCTGGACTGGGTATACGACAGGCTGCAGACTCCGTACGCGTTTGCCTTCGAGATCTATGCAGCGGCCTACGGCAAACCCCGCCGGCGCGTCGGTGCAGCATCCGCATCGGAACCCATGCGGGGTGATTAGACCGATGTCTCCGAACAGGCTCGGTAGAACCATCGAGTGACCGTCTGGGAAGCGGCTCTAAAGTCGGGTTCCATTAGTAGGTCGGCCTTGCGAAATAAAGGGTACTCTTGTGTCCTGTGCATCGCGCGTCGTGTCCTCTGCGGCCGAAGGGCAGGGTACCCTTGTGTCCTGTGGTTTTGGAGGCCATGTTGCCGTCGGAAAAGTCTTGTGTCCTGTCGCGCGTCCTGTGCGCAATAACCCGCCTGTATGGTGGTGTAGCGTGGCCAAACCGTATCATTGCCTGATTGCTCAGTTGCGTCAGTGAGTGTCTTAGAGGTTTTGCGGGGCTCGCGGGGCTCCTCAACGTCCTATCGTGGGCTTGTTCGGGGCATGTCAGGGGGTTGATGGGGGCTCGTCGGGGGATCGGGGCAATCTTGGGCGAGATGGTTCCCCCTTGCTCTCCCGCCGGGGCTCGGTTGGACCATCTTGGAGCCGTCTCGGCGGGTCTCCCGAGGCGCTCTCAAGCCGAAGCGCTTCGGAGGCCAAACGTTGACATTCACTACGGTCTGATGTTGTCGTGCTTGTCGTCGGACTCTGAAGGCCTCGCTTGAGGCCTGTCGGGAACTTATCGGGGTCTGCGGGAGCGCCTCTGGGACGTCCCTCGGACGGTCGTCCGGGGGCTCGCGCGGATGCCGCCGGGTCGGCTCGCGAGGCCATCTTCGATTTTGATCGTCGCAGGCCTAGAGGTTGACACCAACACCAAGATCGGCGGTGTTTTTCCACCGAGGGAAGAAGATCCCGATCTCGGTGATGGTGGTAATATTCTGGCTTCCAAGCTGGCCGAAATATTACCACCAACACCGAAATCTAGGATCACCTCCCCCCTGTGGAGGCAGCCCTCTGTCTTGTTGTTGGTGCCCATTTCCATGCCTCCTATATTGGGGCGATCTTGGCTCGTGCGAGAGGGGGGACTACGTTCCAGAGACGCACGCCGGGGAGGGGGAGGCGCCATCAGAAAACTGCCCGAGCTTCTGCCCGACAGCTCGTAGGCATGCTCACACGCCCCAGCGGGCCGAAGACACGGTGGCGGACACCAACCCGATCCTCTCGGACATGCTGAAGGAGCGCTGGCAGGAGAAGATGCGGTCGGGGGCAGCTTCCTTCTTCCAGCTTCACGACAATCTGGGCCACGAGCACTTCAGGGATCTCTTCCGAGACTTCCCGTCCTCTTTCGTACAATTGAACAGCACCCGCTCGTCGCACGACCACGGCATGGACGACGCAGATTGCTTCGCGCAGTTCAACCCTAGCTCGAAGGAGGAGTACGAGAGCGTCATCGTCAACTGGTCGGCTGCCTACTTGGACATGGCGGACATGATCGCCAAGCGTCTATCGGTGAGCGACCCTGGCTTCCGCAATTCTTCCGCCACTGTCCCTGCCGACAGCTTCCTCTCCAGCGTCGACCCGTGAGGCATCTGGCCATCTCGACGCGAGGGACGGCGCAGTGTCCGGCACACCAGGCTGTGTTGAACAATGGCATCGTCGTCATCGTTCCCTTCCTGCCCCCTTCTCGCACTCCGCTCTGCCGTGCCTCATCCTCATTCTGCCGTCACCAATGCCAATGAGTCCTCCCGCCGCCTTGTCCCGCGCGCTACCGAAATCCGACCTCCGAGTTCTTAGTCAGCGCACCCTCACATGATTTGCCAAGCACCAGCCACGTTGTCTCGACTGGGGGGATAGAGGGCGGGAAGGAGGTGGGGCAGGATGGGGGAATCTGATTTGTGAGGGGATGAAGAAGGGAGCGGAATAGGGACAGAACGGCAGGATGAGGAGGCAGAGGAGTACGTTGTAGCAAGAGTAGAAGGGGAGGGCGGAATGAGGAGCATGATCATGAGGCTGATGATGCGTTTGTGGGCGCAGACGCGGATGAGGGATGATGAACGAGGATGATGAGAAAGATGATGGTGACAGCGAGGGTTGCGACGGCGATGATGATGATGATGATGATGATGATGATGATGATGATGATGATGATGATGATGATGATGATGATGATGATGATGATGAGGAAGAGGAGACATGAGGAGGCGAATAAGTAGAAAGAGGAACACTGTAAGAGGAGGAGGAGGAGGAGGAAGACGAGCACTAGACGCAAGAGGCCTATGAATTGAAGGAGTGGCGGAAGGAGGAGACGGCGGCGCATGAGTGGGAACAGGAGTGGGAGACGGAGGAGCAGGAGGAGGCATAGCCATGGTTGGGGGAGCCTCGAATGACGAACCCCGAGGGGGGAGGCAGCGGGGAGCCCAGGGAGCGCTCCAGGGTGGACCCCCTTCTGCGGGAACGAGTGTGGAAGATGTGTGTGGTAAAGAAGATGCGAGTGCGAGTAAGAGAAGCGAGGGAGGTTGGGGGGAAGGAGGGGGGAGCGGACAGCGAGAGGAATAGTGGTACATGCTTCGGATACAGATATCGCATGTGTGTGGATGTGTGAACAGAGATGGTATGTATGTTTAGATATGTTGAAATCCATACTTATATGTTGACCAGCGTGCATCCCAAGCAGTGTTTTCTTGCAATATATGCGGCGCTGTCTATGTGGCGCAATCATTGTGGTGCAGGCCAGGTGGTGCAAGTTATGTGCTGAAAAGCAGCGTACTGCAACGCAATGCCGAGCAAAGGTGTACAAAGCAATGCAAAGAAATGCCATGCCATGCAAACCAATGCAAAGCAATGAAACGCCATACAAAGCAATACATTGCAAACGAGTGCAAAGCAATGCAACGCCATGCGAAGCAATGCGACGCAACGCCAAGCAATGCAGCACAGCAAGGCATATAATGGTGGCCCTTTGGGGCCCCTCGTCACAGCTGCTGGACACAGTCAAAACAAGTGCTCGGGATGGCGACTGCGATGCATCCGATGGACTCCAGTCTGGGAAGCAAGGATGTTTCTCGAGGCGGCAAGTAGGAGACCGTCCGAGCAGTGCGCACTGCCGTCGCCTAGGTGTTTGGCACGGTGCGGTCGATTGGCCCGGTGTCCTCAGACAGAAAGTTCAAGCGACGATGTCTCTGCCGAGATGGGTCCCATATGGGCAGTGCTTTGACTGCCCTTCCATAGCATGGCTCGCCGCACCAACCAGCCATTCCCTTCTCCGCCTCAGGCAGATGCGAGGGGACAGCCCGAGCACCTGGCAGACATCGGCATGCGCGTCGCGGAGGTTGCCCGGAGCTTGGGCCAGCAGGTGTTGAAGGCCGCCTGCCGCCGTCTGCATCTGCTCTTCCCCAGGCTGTCGTGACGCACGGGGACGAGCAGCAATGGATGAAGGACCGATGTGGACAAGGACTGATGGGCCTGTTTTCCACAGCCACCACCGTAAGTTGGAAAGGGGAGGGGGTCCTCCTCCCCCTTTTCTTCTTCCTCCTCCTCCTCCTCACCCTCCACCTCCTTCCCCCCTCCAACTTTTGGTGGAAGTGGTGGAAAACAGGCCTATCAAGGATCTTGACGATCCAGCGGGGTCTGGTTTCATATCCTCTGTGCCAGGTGCTTCTTACATCCTCGCTCGTGCTTGTGTTCGTGAGGTACCTTCGGGGCCGTCGCATGTCTCCGACTCCGGCGCCAGTTTGGGCGCAGGGTTGGTGAGCGCAACCTGCGAGGTCGGGCGTCCGAGTGAGTCGACCAGGGTCCCCACCCCCAACGCCCGGCGGCATCCTCTTCATCGTCGTCGTCGTCCAGCTCCTTCTTCCCGTGTGCGACAATGAAGGAGCGTGAGGGGCAGGGAGCAGTGGGAAGAAGGAAGCGGACGCTTGCGACCGCAGTCTGTTATGCGCAGCATCGGAGCCTGTTGCATCACACAAAACACGGCAGGAAGGTAAGGTCGTGAAGCCATGGGAAGTGTTGACGCATGATGTGAAGGTGTCAAAGACAGCGTCTCGTCTGGTTCGCCATGTTGCATTGTCGGTATCTCGATGGCGTGGATACGAGACCGAGCGGAATTGACAGACGAAGGGCGAAAGATTCTTCACGCTTCGCGTATCCCCACCAGTCCATCTCAAAACAGCAACTCTTGCGAAGCATGCCGACAGTCGTGTTTATCAGGCGTGTTTCCGCCTGCCCCCGCATATCTCCGGGCCTCTCGTCCTGGTGTGAGTCGTGCGGGCCCTTCTTCCTGGTGTGAGTCGTTCGGGCTCTTCGTCGTGGTTTGAGTCGTTCGGGCTCTTCGTCCTGGCGTGAGTCGTTCGGGCTTCTCGTGGTGTGAGTTGTTCGGGCCCTTCGTCCTGGTGTGAGTCGTTCGGGCTCCTCCTCCTGGTGTGGGTCGTTCGGGCTCCTCGTGGTGTGAGTCGTTCGGGGCCCTCGTCCTGGTGTGAGTCGTTCGGGCTCCTCGTGGTGTGAGTCGTTCGGGCGCCTCGTCCTGGTGTGAGTCGTTCGGGCGTGGAGTCGAAGTCGTAGTAGTAGTAGTCGTAGGAGTAGAAGTAGAAGTAGATGTCTTTTGGTCGGAGGCCTCTGAGGGCGTCTTCGGCGCCTCTTGGGGCCTCTTGGAGACATCTTGGGGGCATCTCCTCGTGGGGCCTCTTGGGGGCCTCTTGGAGCCTCTTGGGGCCTCTTGGGGGTCTCTTGGGGGCCTCTTGGGGGCCTCTTGGGGGCCTCGTGTGGCCTCTGGGGGCCTCTGGGGGGCCTCTTGGGGGCCTCTTGGGGGCCTCTTGGGGCCTCTTGGGGGCCTGTTGGGGGCCTCTTGGAGGCCTCTTGGGAGGCTCCTGGGGGCCTCTTGGGGCCATCTGGGGGCCTCTTGCGACCTCCTCAGAAGCGCAAAGGAGCGCTGCCCCCTGAGAAGGACAACATGAGCCAAAAACCCTTCGTAAAATCAATGATTTTGCCATGAAGGAAGATGAGCGCGGCCCCCTCAGGACGCCAAAATGGGGCCAAAACCGTAGTAAAATCAACGATTTTGGCTTCAAAGAAGAGCAGAGGGGCCAAACTGTATCCCCCCGACGGGGCCAGAATCCTCGTGAGGGTCGTCGTTTTTTGGCCCTCCCAGGAGACAAAAAAGACCCCCCTGACTACGCCCCGGACTCCCTGTCCAGGTCCAGGGGGAGGGGGTAGGGGGAGGGGTAAACCCTTCCCCGAAGGGGAAGATGGGGGGGTGAGAACAGAGAGAGCTCGCTAAACCACTCACGCCCAAAGGGCTGGTGGGACTTCACGTATATGAATATGGAGATTCCTCACGGTCCAGGTGTTCGCCGGCACCATGTCAGTGTGGCAGTATCGCTTGAGAGGTGTTTGCCCCTGCTGGCATGGTTGTGTGTTTGGAGGGTGGGCCACGATGTGAGGGCAGGCAAGTCGTGTTACAGTCGGGTCCCTGAAGAAGGAACCCTTTTCGTTGGGAAGGGGCTCCGCGTTCCTTAAGTGTTTCACAGCTTGCCTCAGGCTTTCCTGATGTCTTCGACCGAAAATCGAAGCTTAACTTATGGAGAAGAGGGGCCTCGTTCATTATTGAGGGTTCCTTAGGTCAACGCCCCGACTGTAGCCGGTTGTAACGTTGGATCGGTTCCGGGAGGCCCTCGCGCTGCCAGCGGATGCCCTCTTCGTTTTAAGCTTACTCTGCGGAGCCGTCGTGGGAAGGTCATCCTCCTTCTCCACAATCGCCGCCTCCTCCTCCTCCTCCTCCCGCTCCCCCTCCCCGTGCTCGTTGTCGTGCTCTTCCTCCCCTTTCTTCCTCCTCCTTCTTATCCTCCTTCCTTCAATTCTTCCTCCTCTTCCTCCTCTTCCTCCTCGCCCACCTCCCCCTCCCACTCCTCCTCTTCCTCCTCCTCCTCCTCCTCCTCCTCCCCGCCTCCTCCTCCGCCTTCCCGACCTTGCCCGATCTGACTTTGCCCGATCCACCTGGCTCGGTGCACTCGTGGTAGTTCGATGGCGCAGCATCGTTGAACGTCCTGCCCGCCCGTCCTGACCCGCCCATTGGAAGCCGCTCGTGGAGGCGGCCTTTCGGGATATTCTGGGAAGGCCCTCGCGCTTCCCAGAGGGTCACCCAAAAATCCGCCCGTTTTAGGGTGAGCCTTCCAGCCCTCTCTGGGATGCCTGTCGTCCTTCCCTTCCTCCGTTCCTCCGCTTCTGGGCTCGCAGTGGAATCTCCAGGAGGTCATGGGATGCCATCTTGGACCTGTCCTTGGGCTGCCTGGAAGATCTCGTCCACGCTGTTCCAGAGCTCACAGCGGGCAGATCAGCGCGCAGCTTCTGCGCATGTCCACTACAGGCCTATGCGGAGGCTATGCGTAGGCCTGTCGCGGGCCTTGGGTTCGGGCCTGCGCGTAGGCTATACATGCGGGAACGTCGCACCCTCTACAGGCCTGTGCATAGGCTGTACACAGGCCCACCGCAGGCCTACCGTAGGTCTACTGCAGGCCTGTGCATAGGCCTGTCGCGGGCCTGCACACACCCTGTCGATAGGCCTACCACAGGCCTATACACAGGCTCCACATAGGCCTGTCACAGGCCTATGCGCAGCCTGCCTACTGGCCTGGCCTGTGCATGGTCTGTCGCCGTGTGTTCGAGCATACTCGCGCGCTGTGCTCAGGCAGAGTAGAGACCTGTGCGCATCCTGTGCATAGGCCTATGTATAGGCCCATGGTGGGTTGTGCACAGCCTGTCATAGGCCTATGCACAGCCGGTCGACCGGCCTACGACAGGGCTATGCATAGCCTATTGACAGGCCTAGCATCGGCCTATCGACAGGTTTTCTCGGGGCCTGTGCGCCTCGTCCGTCATAGGCCTGTGCATAGGCTGTGCACAGGCCTATCATAAGCGTGTGCACAGGCTATGCATAGTGGATTGTTATCTAGCAATTGGTGGCTCTCATGTGTAGCCGATGGAAGGACCTCCCTGCCCCGAGCGCGGCAGGTGCCTCCGTGCGCGCTGCCAGCGCTGAGAGAGCTGCAGGGCAAGTGCGGGGCGCCCGGGGCGGAGGAGCGAGCGGTGCCCCCCTCTGCGCGGCAGTCCCCAACACGCGGTGGTGGCAACTCCCGGCGGTGAGTCTCGGGCGATGTGGTGTCACCACCCGGTTCGGGGACTCTCAGAAGCCAGGCGAAGGCTGCCAGACCCGTGGCTGCTAAAACGGAGCTCCGGGACATTGTTTTGTTTTTCCGGGAAGCAGCCCGTTTGCTATTTGGCGCGCTGAGTTTTATCCGGGAATTTGTTTCTCTTTCCGGGAAGACCGTTTAAGCCGCCCAGCTTCCGAGACTCGTATGGTTTTGCGGAGACGTCCCGAACGCTGGCGGGTCCAGGCGTAAGAGAACCCGGTGGTGGCCCCGTGCCCCGAAACCCAGCGGTGATTTTTGGGGCGATGCCAGGTCGCCACGTGGTCATCTCACCACCCTGGTTTGGGGGCTCCCAGTTTGCGCCTTGATCCGTGCCCTCCTCCGGAGCGCTCCCTGCCCCGGGCCCTTCCCCTCATCCCATTTCCCTTTCCCACCTCGGAGGGGAGCTGCGCTCGTGGGTAATTTCCGAGTGCATGAGTATGGCCCCCCTGTCCCCCCCTCGCTCTCTCCGGTCCTCCTCTCCTCCTCCTCCTCCTCCTCCTCCTCCTCCTCCTCCTCCTCCTCCTCCTCCTCCTCCTCCTCCATTCTCTCTTCCTATTGAAGCAAGTGCCTCTGTTGCTTGTGACCTGGGCCGAGAGCATCCCCCATCGGGTGCTGCGAACCTTGGCCCCGGTGGGCCCCGGGTTTGAGGCCACCGACGGGCGCGACAGCCACTCGTGGCAACCACGCGCCGCCCACGCTCCCCGTTCCTCGTCCTCCCCATGTCGCCCTCCTCCGCCTCGCGGGGCCGCTGCGTCGCCGACCCCGTGACGCCTGCGTGTGCCTCGCGGTCTGGGTCTTAGGTCGGGCGTGTCCTTGTCTACAGGGGGAAGCTTCAAGAATAGAAATTATCCCAATCCGACCCTACCTAGGAGTTGGAGCATTTAGGAAAGCAACATCTACGTCTACACCGACAGCTACATGTTAATCTACACCTGCATCTACATCTACATCAACATCAACAACGAGACTCACATCTACATCTACATCTACACCGACATCTACACCTACATCATATCTACACCTACACCTACATCCACATCTACACCTACACCTACATCTACATCTACATCCACACTTTCGCATTGGTGTTGCTTTTGCTTTGCATTGCCTTCGCATGATCAGCTTTGGTTGCGGTGCTATGCTATGCTGCGATGTGCTATGCTAAGCAATGCTATGCTATGATATGCTGTGTTATGCTATGCTGCGCTATGCCATGCTATGCTGAGCTATGGTATGCGATGCTGTGCTATGATATGCTTGGCTATGCTATGCTATGCTGTGCTAATGCTGCGCTAAGCTAACCTAAGCTAGGCTAGGCTAAGCTAAGATAAGCGAAGCGAAGCTAAGCGAAGCTAAGCGAAGCGAAGATGAGACACGCTAAGCTCAGCTAAACTAGGCTAGGCTAGGCAAAGCTAAGCTAAGCTAAGCTAAGATGAGGTAAGCTCAGCTAAGCTAAGGTTAAGCTTAACTAAGCTAAGCTGGGTGAACCCAGGGGGCGCAACTGGGGGAACCGCGGGGCGGGGACTGGGGGAACCGCCCGGGGCGTTTTACACTGCCCGGCCCCTTTAAGCAAACAAAGTAAGAACCCTCTAGACAGAGCCTAGATAGGGGAAAAGAATAGTCTGGGGACGAGTGTTTTTTACAATTTCTGCTCCTTGGGGGGTATTGTTTAACTTTTTAGTTTCGCCCCAAATCGGCCTGCAGCGGTTCTGAAGCGTTCCTGCTTCCATTTCTCCCCCCCTCTACAATTACTCAATATTAATACTACTCTCCCTCTTCCCCTGATGACGGTTTGAAAGTATTAGCCCCCCCCCGCGTATTTTTTTTTTACACAGGTTTCCCCGGAGTTGGGTTTTCGCCTGCATTTGTTTCAAAATGCTGCTCTCGCTGAGGCGCCGGACTCATTTTCGGGCCCCTCTCGTTCCGAATCGTGTTCCCGCTGCAGCGCTGGCCTGATTTCCGTGCTTCCGCTCGTTCCGAATCGTGCTCCCGCTGCAGCGTTGGTCTCATTTCCGCGCTTCCGCTCGTTCCGACTCGTGCTCCCGCTGCAGCGCTGGCGTCATTTCCCGTGCCATGCCACGGCATGCAATGCAATGCTAGGTTGATACTACGCTTTGCGGTGCTCTTCTACGCCATGCCATGCCGTGCTCTACAATGCATCGCGTACCCTTTCGGGATCATTGCCCTGCTCGACATCCGACTGTGCGAGTAGAGAGGGGATCTACGCCATGGTAAGGAATGGGAGGGAGGGGTAGGATGTCAGATATGACGCGAGCGCACCTAGCTTGCCCTCCCCCTTCTCCCTCCCCCTCCCTCCCTTCCTCTCCCGTCAGCCCCGTTCCCGACTCCCCCTGCTCTCATCCGCATCCTCCACCTTGCCTTGAGTCGGGCTTGTCCCTCTAGAGGAGGAAAATCCAAAAATAGTCCAAGAATAATATGGGGACGAATGTTTGCATGCTTTGATTATTGTGCTTGCTTTTGTATGTTTCGATTTTTGTATATTTTTGTATGTTTGTTTAGAATGTTCCGGCACGACTTAAACCTTGCCCGAGCTGGGCGGGCAAGTGCTCTACAGGCCCCCTGTCGGCCTGGTTTGTGTTCCGTCCCTGATTGATTTGAGCC